TTCTCTTCGTGTTCTTGACAAGTGATTCTGTGGGGCTTTTGTATGGTGTCTGACTGCAAGTATTCAATCACCTCATCTCTTGCTCTCTTCGATGGTGCATAAATTCTCTAAAGGAGACAAGGGCCTGCTTCCACTGTGCTTTGGTGTCTCTTCCAATTCTCAATCTGTCAGGCCCTTTCCACATGTTGTTCCAATTCTGTCTTGGTCAGTGTGCTAAAACCATTACCCATTTCTTATCTATCTGTCTGTCTGCTAATTCCAAATCATCTATTGCATCTTTAAAGCCTTCTTATACATAGAATAATTCCTGTACTCCATATTTTCAGGAGAAGACTGGGCAAATTCTTTTCAGTCTCATAGCAGGGATTTCAGTTGTTCTTAGATTTGCTCCTCTTCCTGTGGTCTCGGTTCTTGCTGGATGATCCACAAAGAGGCTGATCTCCTTGATGTCACTCTGTTTGAATTTATCATCAAGGGTAAGGCATGATTGATATAAGTTTCGATTTCATGAAGAGGAGTTGGTTGATTTCACMATGGTCAATGTATTATTTTGGTTGTTTTCCTTAATGGATGATTAATTTTTTTTGATACACGATAAACCGGGTAGTAATTACTGTGCACGAGTTACATGTACTCTCAGTATGTTTTTAGTGTGTATAAAAATTGAAAATATAAGATTAAGATCATTGTGTTTCAACGTGAGCTTTCTGAAGCTCTGATTAGATCCTTGTGTAGCTCTGGTACTGAATCTACACAGGATTCTTATTATTCTGATCTATTGACATCTTTGTTCTTTGCGAGATAATCTATCTCTGTGCACGAGATTACGTGTACTCTTAGTATGTTTAAGTGTGTATGAAAATTGAATTATAAGATTAGAAATTATTCAAAGATTACCAAGCGCGTTCACGAGAATTCTGAAGTTCCGATTAGATCCTCATGTAGATCTGGTAGTGAATCTACATGGAGGTTCTTCTGTTCCGGACTCGTGACATCTCTGTTCTTTGTGAGGTATTCTCGTATCTCATATCTTAGACCTCTTAAGATCCTCAACACTAGGTTTGTATAATACATATATATAAACAGTACCTTACTGAAGGTATGTAGGAATGGTATGTCCATCCATTCCAAGGGAGCATCGTGTGTACATATGTTTCCCTTATAGTACGTACGTATGCTTCCTTTACAGTACGTACATTGCATTATTCCCGACAGTAATATTGCTTTCAATGTTACTCACTATTAAACTGTAGCAATCATATCTTCAATATTTCCAACAGGGGGTTCCTCCTCTGCTGCTGGGTTTTCAGGAGTGGCATTTGCATTAGTAGTTCCTTTGTGAGGAACAAGCTTCCTGATATTGACAGTCTCACGTACGTTGTCACTTCTTTGCAACACCACCGTCCCATTAGTGTTGATCTCCACAATKGGATAGGGACCATGTAATCTTTGGGACAGCTTGTCTGGTTCATAGTGTTTCATGTAAGCTTGTTGTCTGACCTGATACTTGAAGGGTATTCTCTGAGCATTTTCTCTCCTAAGGTTCTCATCAATTTGGTGTTGTCTTTTATCTCTGATAAGGTTCAAATCAGCAATGAGTGGGATATCCATTACCATGTCTCAGTTGAAAACCAGAGCTCCTGGTGATGTCTTCACTACTGCATTCACTGCACACCTGGTAGGATGCATTGCAGAGGCAAGTGCATTGTCAATCAGTTGATCTTCATCAAATTCAGCTTCTTCAAGTGACTTGCTTGTATGGAGGGTCACTCGTAGAACATTGGCAATTGTCTGATGAACCCTTTCACACACTGCATTTGCTTGTGGGTTCTTAACCCTGGTTTGGACACTCTTAATTCCATACTGATTCAGTAACTGTTTGAATGAGCTTCCGATGAATTCTTTGCCATTGTCGTGTATACATCTGTTGGGCCTGGGATAACATGACAACCAACAGTTTGCAAATTGCTCTGCAACATGCTCACTTGATTTGTTGTTGATTCTGATTATTTCCAGGAGGTTAGTGACTGGATCAATACAAGTGAGAGCATTAATCACCAATTCAGTTTCATCCGGGAGGAGTGTTTTCCAKGGACCTATCAGATCCACGCACACTTCATTCCATGGGACAAGCTGGGCTTCCCGAGCTGGTAATAGGCCATGTCCCTGTCCTTGTTGTTTAAATCTGTGGCACTCATCTGGACACTGATATTGCTTGCATCTTAGGCTGAGTCTTGGAGCATAGAACCTAGCACTGACAGTTTCATATAGTCTAGTGCTTCCACAATGAACCAATAAGAGGTGGTACCATCTGAGGGTGCTATTGACCAGCCCTTCAGGCAGGTAAGTTTCAAGTAGGTGTTGACACTGGGGGTCCGTGAGCTGATAAGTGTAAATGCTTGCATTTGTTATTGGATTTTCCATTTCTGATACTGGTGGTAAATTGAGCAGAAACTCATATAGTTTGGCCTCCAAATAGGAAACGTCTTCCGGATCCACCTGGGCTGTTAACTCTTTGAAATTCACCACTGTTCCTTTATTCTTCTCATATATTGTCTTTTCTTTATCCCCCACAGTGCACGGATCCATTCTGGGCACTCTAGAGAAACAATCTGCAAGAACATTCTTCTTGCCTGGAATATACTGCCAGGTGATATCAAAGCCCTCAAGGCTTAATTTCCATCGGAGAACTTGGGACTGAGACAGCGTCCTGAAGATTAGGTTTTGATGGTCAGTGTAGATGTTGATCTTGCCACCATATAACATATTTCAGTATTCCTCGAGGCATAGGATCACAGCTAACAGTTCCTTTTCCATTGTGGTGTAATTCATCTGGGTTTTGTTCAGCTTTTTAGACCAATAGGCTATTGGTCTGTCATTCTGGAGTATTGCTGCACCAAGCTGATAATCGGACGCGTCTGTGTAAATATCAAAGGGAACATCCAGATCAGCAAAGGTGTTGATAGCATCATGTGCTAGGAGGGCTTTCATCTCTTGAAAGGCCTGGTTGCATGCAGGGGTCCATGTATAAGGTCCGGAGCCAGTGAGGGCTGTTAGTGGGGCCAATACATGTGATTGTCAAGGCCACATGGATTTGTAATAATTCACTGCACCCAGGAAAGACTGGACCTGTGATTGATTTTGGGGAATTCCCATCTTTAGAATCCCATCTACTTTCTTTTGCCAAGGCTTGACACCAGTAGGGGTGAGCCAATAGCCAAGGAAATCAGATTCTTTCACTGCCCATTCGCACTTCAGTGGATTACATTTCATTCCATTTGATGCTAGACATTGAAGGACTGGGTCTACCAGAGACAGGTGTTTGCTGAATGGCCTGCTGGACCAAATCCCCATGTCATCGATATACACTTCAACATCAAGGTTGACCAGGATCTTGGTTATGAATGGTTGGGCATAATCTGGAGATGATTTTAGTCCCATGGGCAATCTTAGGCATCTGTAATTGCCGTGCATTGTAGTGAGAGTGCAAATCTTTTGGCTTTCTTCATCCAATTCAAAGCAGTAAAACATCATAGACAGATCAATTTTGGTGAAATGATCATAGCGCGTTCGCCGGTTCATGATGTCCTGAATCTTGGGGAGATTAAACTTAGGTCTCTTTATCCTTTTGTTTAATTCTCTCAGGTCGACGAGCCATCTGACTCTGCCGTCCTTTTTGGGGATAATAAAGGCTGGAAATCCCCATTCTGAATTGCCAGTGGGGGCTATCACCCCTTCATCAACAAGATGCTGGCATTCCCTTTTGAAGACATCCTTGTGTCTGTAGGGAACTGGGTATGGTCTTATATAAACTGGTTTTGCATCATCCTCTAGATTGATGTGGATCTTCTCATGTGGATATCTGCCTAGTTTGCCATCAAACAACTCCGTGTGTTTGGCTAACATTGTCTTGAATGCTAGTCTTTCTGAACTGTTCATATGCTCCTGATGGTTTGCAACCTCTTCTGGAGTTACTTGTTGGTATTTAGCATTGAGTATTTGGTTGAGCTTTGTACTTTCAGTACTACTAGTAGCTCAGTCACCTTCTGGTACTACACATCCAGGATTTTTATAGCTTTTGTAGCTCTGGCAGTACTTGCTGCTAAATAACTGTCCAAACCAACTGCACATCTGCAGTTTTGTGGTTGGCAGCTGCTTGGGGGGAGTAGATGAAAATCTAGGAATTCTCCATCTAAGAGCTCATCATCCTCGGCAATCCACATGGCTTCTGCCACCTGCTGGGGATCATTGAAATGATCTACTGGTTTCATAATCGATGGTTGAGCCTAACCATCTGATAGTGCGTGTCAAATAGAAGAGGTCTATTCTGGTCATCAATAGGAAATCTCTTCCTAGCACATGCTGTTCCATTTCTGTCTGGGTTTGTGTGCCAGGACCATTTGCCACTTCTTATCTATTTGATCATCTGGTAGTTCCAAATCCTTTATTGCATCTTCAAAGTCTTCCTGTACATGAAATAGTTCCTGTACTCCATGTTCCCCGGAAAAGCTTAAGCAATTCCTGGTTAGCATTCTCGCTGGGCGTTGAAGGTTCACAATGAGGGAGACTGTCTTCAACTGGCTCTCATTGAAGTTGTTTGTTAGGCTGAGACAGGATTGATGTTGTTTGGTAAAGGAGTTKGTGTTCTTAGTGTTTGGTTTCACCATGGTAGATGTGGTATTTTTGGTTGTTTTTCTTAATGGATGATTAATTTCGATACATGAAAATCACTTAGTAATTACTGTGCACGAGATTACGTGTACTCTTAGTATGTTTAAGTGTGTATGAAAATTGAATTATAAGATTAGAAACTATTCAAAGATTACCAAGCGTGTTCACGAGAATTCTGAAGTTCTGATTAGATCCTCATGTAGATCTGGTAGTGAATCTACATGGAGGTTCTTCTATTCCGGACTCGTGACATCTCTGTTCTTCGTGAGGTATTCTCGTATCTCATATCTTAGACCTCTTACGATCCTCAACACTAGGATCATATAATACATATATATAAACAGTACCTTACTGAAGGTATGTAGGAATGGTATGTCCATCCATTCCAAGGGAGCATCGTGTGTACGTATGTTTCCCTTTTAGTACATATGTATGCTTCCTTTACAGTACTACGTACGTTGCACTCTGGAAATTTTGGACCTCTTATGATCCTCGGACCTCTTACAATGGATCCTATGATACATATATATAAATAATACCTTAAGATACATACGTAGGAATGGTATGTTCCCTTATTATTTTTTTCAAAGCTCCGTACGTATCGTATCCGTTGCATTATGACACCCTTCCAATAAAAATYATCACCACCATGCTGATATTTTTTTTTTGGCGTGCTCTCTCCTCACTACACAACTCTACCAAACATTGCATCAACACACGTTTGAACAACAAATGGACAATGCATATGCACTGTCGAGGATTGATGAACTATGAAATCTAGAATCAATCACTATGAGGAAGGAGTGATGTGTGAATCAAATGAGTCAAGTCACTAAATCGAGTGAATGAAATGAGTCATGTCGATTGTATGAATCCAGTGAGATCAAGTGAGTCATATATGTATGGTGTGTATGAACCGTAGATACATATCGTATGTATGTGGTGTATGTATGGGTCATACCCATGGTCTGATATCCTACAGACAGCATGTGTATCCGTACTTCTGTATCGTATGTAGGTATTCCCATACTGTATGTACTTATCCATTGCAGTTGCAGTGCATGCAGTGCACTCTCTGTTTTACAGCAGACTCAAATTTTTGATTTCTGGATTTCTTAGTAATAGATGTTGTGACTTTTGAATGGTGGTCTTTGGCCCATTCAAAATTTGCTAAACTTCGAGCTAAAAATGCTAGATTTTTGGTCTGTTTGTCTATCAAATTTAGCTTTCTATTTACGGGAATCACCCATTTTTAACGTTCGGAATGACCTGTGCAACGTAGTTTCAATTGATCCGCAACACGTGGTAATGCGTCGCCTGAAGAACAAAGGATATTCTGAAAATCAAAACATTGAATTCTAAAAACTTGTAAACAGTGGAATGCTAATCTTTTTCCCGCAGAATGAATCAAAGTACTCTACTTTACCTACAATCGGCGAAAACAAAAGTTCGACTGACACCTGTTGCGTCCGGAAGATTCCAGTAACATTTAAACGAAAGTTCAATAGTATTTACAGTTATTTAAACAGCAACGTCCTCAGAAGAATGCAACGTTTCACACTTTGAAATTGCCACGTAATACTGTAATAAGTATGTGGTACGAGTACGTACTTGTGCAGCATTGGTTCATTGCTGACATACTCGTACTAGGAGTTCCTTCTATTTTTCGGTTAAGTTGAGACGTGAAGTACACTATTCAGATTATCTATTCAGATTATCTACTACAAGTACCAAGTAATGTACCGTATTCGAACTACCATCAATTTATTTTATTATTCTTTTTCTGTGGGCAAGGAATGAACCAATAAGCACAAGTACCAAATTAAGCCAGTGAGTTCAGGGCTTCGAAAATCTTTTTCGTACGGTATTCTTGTCTCACTTTGTGCAAAAACGCACAGTCTTTTTTATGGTTTGAGTCTTAAAATTGGTTCTCATCTACTTCTGCAACGGAAGTCTGTTACCTCGGACATGAATATCTTGAAGCTTACAGTTCTAAGCCTCTTTTTCCCTGCATCCTCCATAGCATCCATTTGCACCGGAAAAAATGCATCCCCAAACTGGTATGGCGCAGTTGGCTACCCACCTTATTTCACTCGTGATGAGCCCGAGAACTGTCCCCAAAAGTATTCACTAAGCAGGTGTGAGCAATCCGCTGTGATGAAAGACGGGACGTCTAACTTTTCTACTGATGATGATGGTGCTGAAGTGTGCACCCCCAATGTAGATTGTTTCCCAACCAAACAGAATTGCAACGATACTCTCACCTGCAGTGATCTTGTCAAGCTCAAGGACGATCTCATGGAGGGAGGGTACAACATAGTTTGCCGCCACGAAAAGACCTTCTGGCAGCAGTACACAGGTGAAGTCAAGAATTGCCATCTTAGTGGCGACTGTATGGATCCTCATGTCAAAGCGACGCAACGCCAGCTCCAGCCTTGGGGCTGGGAAAGTGCGAATGAGTTTGCTACATCTTTTCGTGAGATGGGTATCCCCGTTGGCAAAACCTACTCATCACCTTTCACGCGCTGCGCTGAACATGCTGATCTCTTTTCCGACGAAGCTAATGAAGAAAGATTAGAGTTGCTCTACATGGGTGGGTGGAAGGAAGTCCTTATGCTTTACAACATCACTGAGGTTATCAAGCCCAATGCACTTAAGTGGCAAGCATACAACATTCGAAATTTTGTCGGAAAGAAACCGGAACCTGGAACGAATAACATCATGGTGACGCATGGCTTCAATATCAAGCTTGGATTTGGGTTGGCCGTAGACGAAGGCTACTGTATGGTCCTAAAACCCGAAGATAGTGAACCATCATTAGCAGAATCCATTGGTTCTTTGACTGTCGCTAACCAAATTTTCGAGTACGAAAGTGACTCTTTCCCTGTCGATGCCATTGCCCGTATGTCGCCCGAATCGGCTCCTCTCATGCAGACATGTGACAATGTGCGTGCAGATGCTAGAGACAGCGACGATGAAGATCTTTTCGCTTTACTGGATGCCAACCACGACATGATGATCACGAAGGAGGAATTCACTTCTGCGCTTGGGCCATTGCCTAATAGCGAAGACGCTTTTGACTTCATCCAGTCAGTCTTTGCCCAACCCGAGGTTCTGGGCAAGCCAAATGATAACGAGAACGAGCTTTCTTCGATTCATCTTGGTCAGTTTTATCATATCAACTGGGGATGGCGAGAGTTTCTCACCAGCGGTGGGGATATCTCGTACCCATGGAGATTCGTCCTTGAAAACACGATTGGACCTATGGGCCTAAGCTCACCCGATGAGCGCGTAGCTGCTTTCAAGGAAGCAAATGTTGTTCTTTCGAATCTGATAATCGCAATTCTAGACCAGGAGAAATACCCAAACAAGGCAGCGATGGAAAAAACCCTCATCGACTGTGATACTTCCACCGAGAGCGAGAGTCAAAGTCAGTATCTCGCTAGTATTGTAGACAAAATTTTGCTCGCACAAACTAGTGGCAGTTCGTACATCCCCGTTGGTGCGGGCGATGGTGGCGCAGCAGCGTCGTTCGATGAATCAATCTTTGGGACGCCACTGGCATATCCATCTGGGTGGAAACCCAGCTCTGACATCTACAACAGTAAACCTTTGAAAGTTGCAATTTGTCTCGCTGTTCAAGATGAGGTAGGCCGCGAAATTACTGATCCCGAGACCGAGAAGCCAACAAAGAAGTCGTCGAAGAAGTCGCCAAAGAACAATAAAAAGAATCACAAAATTTGATATCGTAGGTTGTTTACAGTCTACGACTAGAGTGTAAATCCCGAGTCGGGGAACAGGCAGTTGAAGTTTGTTGAGATCAGAAAAGAGATGTTGAAAAGAGATTTTGTGAGCGATTGAGAACAAGAAAAAATTGGAGGAAAAAAAAATGTAGTAGCAAGAAGGAATAGTAGTAAAAGTAATCGGCAAACATTATATTAAAATAAAAAAATTTAGGTTAAAAAGATTTTTTCAACGGGAAGTCGTCGTTGAGAAAGTGGAATGATCGTGGTAACAATACCCTCCGATTGATTATGTGCAGTCTTCATTGATCATCTCCACAAGAAGTTGTCGGCCACCGAAAATAAGCTTAAGGTAGATTTATCAATGGATGTATGTTTATTATATTGGACTAGTCAAATTATACTCAGTGATTCCTGGCGGAAGAATGCATCGATTCGCGTTGGCTCAAACAGATTTCAATTAACCGTTCGCATTGAAATCGAGATCCCCAAGATGTCATCCTTGTTACCGAGCGATAAGATGCTCGTGATTAAGTAGCGATTTTCCATTCTATTCTATATCATCGATTCTTTTTCGACTGGTTCTCTTTCATTTCATTTCGTTCCGTTTTGTCTTGTCGTTTGCAGGTTCCTAATTGGGAAGGGTTGCACATTCTCCCTGACTCACCACCGGCAAAAACCACCCCCGTTCCTCGCTTGAGCCGGACCATGGGATATACAGAGTGCCGCTTGTGCAGGTCTAGCACATAAGTTTCGTTGTTGCTTTCAACAAGAGCTTCGAGGGCACCCTCATAATGATTGTCATCGTAGTACTGCAATGCCGTAAAGGCACAATTCCACCACCAGCTGTCGCAGGTTTCGAATTGACGATATGGTTTCTGGTTACCAGCATCGCAACAGGCATGGTTCGACAGTCGGGTTTTGGTACCGTGGCCATGGATGTCGCCGCCATGATTTCCGCTGCTGTGGGTGTCGTCGTTGCTAATGCGTTCGTACTGGTCGATCTGGGCGATGTTGTCAAAGTGGGGGGGAAGGTTCGGAATCAGGAGCTTGAGGCTATCGAGGTCCAATCCGTTCACACCAAAGTCCGATGCGTGCGGAAGTGGTTGCAGCCTATGTGGTGCCAACACCCCGCCCCCCGTGAGTGCCCCTGCGAGTTTCGGCAGAGCAAGAGGCCTCGTGTTGAGGATCAGGTCTGGCTCTCCCAAGAAGACGTACTTCCACTGATCCATGGGATCACTGTCATCGCTATCGGTCTTGTTTTGTTGGCCTTTACTTGACCCCGCCCAGCACCGCCGGATGGCTTCGGCCTTGTCCTTGCCTTTGGCAAACTCATCGTCTCGGTGGAGAAGGATGTATCGCAGCCGTCTCAGAGCGGCGTAGGGGATGTTACTCTCGACAAGAGACGCCGTAGTTGCGGTTGCGGTCGTCTTATTTTCACCTTCGGTTGCGTTGGCTTTGTCGGTGAGGATTTCCTTGTCGCAGCTACAAAAGCTGTGTGTCGTCATTCGTTTTTGTTTGGAGGTGGTCCAGCTTTTGGTCACTTCCAGAACTTCTTGCCAGGCCTCTTGCACGAATGACTGTTGGTCGTAGCTGTCTTGATTCCCCGAGACAATAATACGGCCAACTCCCAGCTGGACAAGGGACATCATCGTTGCGGCCAGTGACCACTTGGTGATTTCCGCTCCTCCATATTGACCATAAGGCATGTAGGCAATGACGGCAATCGTAGACTGGGACACCTCAAGCCAGTCTTGTGCATCAAAGTTATGAATGTGATTGTGGTGGTGTTGGTGTTTGGCGCGGTCACTTTCATGCTCGAGGCGTTCCCACATGAACAAGCGATCCTCAGAATGGACGTAGTTTTGGAAGATTTCCAATATTCGCTCCAGTGTCGGTTGAGGATTCGAATTGTGCCTGGTTTCCAGCAGTCCCCGAAACCACCTCGACATGTGCTCCACGTTGAGGTCGATCCAATCCCTCGTGACGCGCATGTTGTCGTCGTTAATGTCCATGACATCAAAAGAGGCACCTTCCGGTGATGGAGGGTTTTCGTTTTCAACCTCCTCGTAGCGGAGAAACTGCTCCTTGCTCTGCCACCACGAACCCGAGAAGGCGTCCTGACCGATGAAGCCTGCTGTCGGGTGTTCCTCTTGTTCGGTCCAGGCATTGGTGTAATCGGAAAAGAAAAAGCCATCGTAGAACTTGTCGTCGATTGATTGGTCACTTGCCGGCGCTGCTGGTTCGTCGTTGGATTTTCTGGTGTCTTCGTTGTTCGATTCGTTGCCGAACTCGTTGCTTGTCTTTTCCTGCTCCCCCTTTTTCTCGACGCTTAGCTCGCTGGTGTCCACTGGTGGTTCCAAATCCAACGTAATTCTAGTCTCGATGTCGGTCGAATTGTTGTTCTTTTCGTGGTCCTCTTTGCTAAGCTTCGTTGCAGTGTCATTTAATGGTGCAGTATCCTTTACTTTTGTAGGCCTCAGCTGTATCGCAGAACTTGTACCGTTGATACTACCACTGTGAACGGTCTTTGTACCAATATCGAAGCCTTGGTTGTAACCGCGGGCAGATTGATTTGAAATCACTCGAGAGATACGGTTTCGATCATGCTGCTCTTGTGGCCGCTGCTGCCTCCAAAAGGGCGATACCTCTGTCTGGTCCGAGTAAATGTCGTTCTGGTTTGTGGGCACGTTTGTGCCCAAGCCGTGGAACCCCATCCATAGTTGATAGGAGCCACAGCATAATAGGATAAGCAAATATTTGCAACGGCTTTTACCGGCAGAGGCTTTCATCGAGCCGCGTTTGGTGTCTCGTTTCTCTCTGTTGCGCGACGACGGTGTGTTGCTCCTATTTCTTTGCCCTTGCCGTGCCCGCCTCTTCCGATATTGATCTCGGATTTATTTAATCGAATTGTTAAAATCACTCGTATGAGTTGAGTCACTCGTACGGTATCTGCTAAATGATACACATGTATTTTTTACCGTTGTATTACTGTATCGTATAGCGCGGGCCACGCAAAAAAAGACGGTTGTAACCGTACATTCGGAATTCAATATATTCGTAAACGAATATCAGTCAATATTCGTCGTACGCCGCACTCCCCCACGGCATTAGAAAGCTCTTTCAATTCTCTTTTCAACCATGTGCTTATCATTGTTAAGCGTCCGTTGGGGAAAAAGTTATTGCCCAAACTGTCAGTTCAAGACTGAAACAGTTATACGGTTAAATTATACGTGTGCGTGGATAAGCGGCCATCTAATTACCRTGTAAAGACTACTTTGACTCAACGGATTTCAGTCCCACAACGGACACACTCCACTTCAACAGACAAACTTGCTCACAAATTAGGCCACTAATYGTGTTAGATTGGCAGCACACCTCCTTCATACAATTGTTCTGTTTCCGATTTATAAGAAGGAACTGTGTCGGAACCATTTCCCCATGCTTTTAACACGGTGTATCGATCCCATTTCTTTCTCTT